AAAAAAAAAAAAAAAAAACCATAAAGAGATTCCTGATGCATTCTCCACCTTGTCAGAGATGTACATTTAGTGCTTCAACTGCTAGATGCATTGACGGATGTGCACCTACAGTAAAGGGCCGCCTCTTTGGGGTTTTTTTAAGTCAGGGTCTCACTATGTAGTTCTAGCTGACCTTGAACTCACAGCCATCCTCCTGCCTCAGCCTCTAATTGCTAGGATTATAGATGTGTGGCACTACACCTGCCTTCTCTTTGGTTTTTAAATGTGATTGAAGTTGCATTCCTCAGCATATTTAATAGTACCTCTATAATTTTAAAAAAGATTAGGTTTTTGCTTGTTTCTTACAGTACAGGGGATTGAACCCAGGGCCTTTGTGCTAAACTATGTCCTCAGCCCTTTTTACTTTGAGACAAGGTCTTGCTAAGTCAGTGGGCTGCTCAGGTTGGGCTTGAACTTCGATCCTCCTACCTCAGCCTCCCACAGTGCTGGGATTACAGGCATGTGCTTTCATGCAAAGGTAAAATCTGTGTATTTAAATGGAATTTTTAGTCAGGCGTGGTGGTGCATGCCTATAATCCCAGCACTCGGGAGGCTGAGGCAGGAGGATCGTTGTGAGTTCGAGACCGGCCTGGGCTACAAAGTGAACTCAAGTCCAACCTGAACTGCATAGTGAGACCCAGTCTCAAAAAAAGACAATAAAAACCCTGAATTGAATTTTTGAAGTATCCTTTCAGCATGCCTGTTACCTTTTTTTTTCTTTTTGAGACAGGGTCTTGCTGTGCAGTTCAGGCTGGCCTTGAGCTCACTTTGGAGCCCAGGCTGGTCTCAAACTCACAACCATCCTTCTGCCTTAGCCTCCCGAGTCCTGGGATTACAGGGGTGGACCACCACGCCTGGCTCCTGTTTTCTTTTCTTTTTTTTTTTTTTTCCAGTACCAAGGATCAAACTCACGACCTTGCACTTGCCAGGCAAGCGCTGTGCCGCTGAGCTAAATCCCCAGCCCCTCCTGTTTTCTATTTTAAGGAGCAGCCTCCTGACTTGAAACCATTATTTTTCCAACCATCCCTGCCTGCTCTGGTCAGAGCAGACCACCAGGTGGCAGCATCACTGTTGTTCCTGATGTGCGACCCCCTCCCCGCAGCACATCTTTTCCTCACTGTTACCCACGGTCTGTCGTGTAGCTGCGCACAGGTCGGTCTGAACTGACCAGTCTGAATGGACATCTTGGCATTTGAGTTGTTTCTGGTTTTTCCCTCTTACATTAAAGCCGCAGGGAGTAGTTTGTGCACGTATCTCTGCATCTGTGTCGCTGTAGTCTATGTCTTTAGCTGTAGCATTGCTGCAAGGTGTGTTGTAAAAAGCCGTACTATCAGACGTGTCCAAGGGTATGGGGGACACAGCGTGGTGGAGAGGGGCTGTCTCTTTAGTCAGAGAAAAGCTCCTAAGCCCGCGCAGTGTCTGAGCCAGCGTGCGTGGGTCTGTTCTGGAGAGAGTCGGAACCTTCCCTCCCTGTCTCGGGAGCATGGAGGCCCCGAGTACGCTTCCTGGTGTGTGCAGGAGCAGGCTCGCATGTCCGCACCGCCTCCCCTAGGAGGCCGACAGGCGGATCCTGCAGGCGCTCCTGGAGAAGGAGGACGAGGAGCAGCGCGTCCATGTGGCCCGGCGGGAGCAGGCCATGGCGGACGCAGCCCACATGAAGCAGGTCATCGAGGAGCAGCTGCAGCTGGAGAGGGCGCGTGAGGCAGAGCTGCAGGTGCTGTTGAGGTAAGAGGGGGCTGCTGCCTGCTCACAGGCTCCTGGCCTTTGTTTTGGTTTCCTGAAATGCCCCTCGGGTCACCGAGAGGGCCACCTGTGTTAGTGAAGCTTCGTCCTTGTTAATTAGCCCGTGACTCCCAAGGAGCTTGTCTTTGCAATGGGTGTGGCTTGTGGATGTGTTTCCTGGAAGCTGTTTGAGATGGAAATCATTACGGTGTAGCCTACTGATCTGTTCATCAAAAATCTTAAAAATGTAAAAGGAAATTGTTCCAAATTACGGAGATGTTGAATGCTTCTTGGGTCTGTAGAAAACCGGCCTGGTGCTTTTAAAAAAGATGGTTTTTGAGACAGGGTCTTGCTGTGTTGCCCGGGCTGGCTGTGAGCTCCTGAGCTCAGGTGATCCTCATGCTTCCGTCCCCCGAGTAGCTGGGACTGGAGGTGCACACTGCCTGGAGTTAGATGAGCAGATTGAAGTGATCCTGTCCCAGGCAGTAAACAGTGAGTCTTACTGAGCCGGGTACTGTGCTGAGTGCCGGACAGTCGTTACTGGTCCAGCCAGGTGGTAGGTGTGTGGGACAAGGAGACTGGAGCAGGCCACCTGGCTGCGCCGGAGAGAGCTAGTGGCGACCTCGGCCGTGTGTGGAGCCGGAGCCCAGGCGCAGTGCGGTCCTCCTCTTCAGGTTCTGTCGACGGCCTCGGTGCTCAACAGCTGCAGTGCCGCTTGGCACGTGGGCTTTTGTGGGGGGATGAGGTCTGAAGAGGTAAGGGGGATACTTTGGATAGCAGTACCTGTGAGTGTCATCCTCACCCGTGTCTTCAAAAGTCGGCACAGGCGTGTTACTTGAAGACCGGCCCACAGGAGGGGGCGCTTCGTACCGTGTGTTCTGTGCCTCCCGCCCTGCTGTCGGGGGTGGTAAGGAGCCGGTCGTCTGTCTGTGTTTACCCAGGGAGGAGGCCAAGGAGATGTGGGAAAAGCGAGAGGCTGAGTGGGCCCGGGAGCGGAGCGCGCGGGACAGACTGATGTGCGAGGTAATCCCAGCTGCTGGGGCTCTGGTGGGTGTTGGAGTCGGGGGTCACGTACTGATCACACCACGTGTTCTGGGAGCAGTCTTCTCTGGTTGTTTTAAAAGAGGTTTTAAAGTCATTGTAAAAGGAATATAAGCCTATGGGAAGGGGTTCCAGGTAGAGACAGTAAAAATTGTAGAGCACTTGCCTAGCACGCAGGCTGGCTGTGAATGCAGTATGCAGCCTAGGCTGGCCTTGAACTGGAAGTGATCCTCCTGCCTCAGCCTCCTGGGTGCTGGCATTACAGGTGTATGTCACCACACCTGCTGATTTTTACTTTTGTCTCTCCCCATGGCTTTTGATTTTCCCCATTTAAATCCCACACCCCCAATCATGGCCACTTTGTGTGTCCCCTCCTGAGAGCATAGCTGTTGGCCTCCTGGTTCCCAAGTCTTGGCTGTGGTCTGGGCTGGTGGTGGAACATCATCCCAGACACAGCCGTAGATGTAAATCCAGAAGGTCAGGAGGACAGCCCAGAATCTACCTATCATCATCTGTGAGGCTTGTGGGATTTTTCCCCCTTTTTTGGGAACCCACTGATGGGGGAGCCTCACTTTGTTCTTTGTGGGTGTTTTTTTGTTTTTGGTTTTTTTTTTGTCTTTTTGAGACAGGTTCTCAGTTATATAGTTCAGGCTGGCCTTGAGCTCACTTTGGAGCCCAGGCTGGCCTCGAACTCACAATAATCCTCCTGCCTCAGCCTCCCAAGTGCTGGGATTACAGGCATGCGCCACCATGCCTGGTATCGCTTCCTTCTTATAAGGTTCTCTGTTCCTGCATGGGGATTCCAGGTTGAGTCCTTTGCCATTGTTGGCACTTGGCCGTCTCCCCATAATACCCAGCAGCCTTTAGTGTGTGTTCGGGGGACCACCTCTCACGCACAGGCGAACATGGCCAACATTGACTGGCCAAGTCCAGTAGTCCCGGTTGGCCTGTGGGTGACGGCCGGGGGCCGAGCACTGGGCTGGGTCTCGGTGTAGCTGCAGCCCGTCTCAGCCTATGTGATTGAAATGGAAATCCCCCTCTCCTGTCTGCTGAGGACAGGTTCTGACAGGGAGGCAACAACAAATACAAGAAAAGATTGAACAGAACCGACGGGCACAAGAGGAATCCCTAAAACACAGGGAGCAGCTGATTCAGAACCTGGAGGAGGCGAGAGAGTCTGCGCGGCGGGTGAGAGAGGAGTGTGAGGAGCTGAAGTCGGCCAGGAAGCAGGAGCTGCAGGCCCAGGTGCGCTGAGGCTGAGGGCGGAGGCGCGTCGTCACGGGGCAGGACCAGAGGCCTCTGCGGTGCTGCCCGGGGCCTGGGCCCTCCTCACTGGGGGCATACTCCACTGCAGGTCCCCTAGCTCTGCTGGGTGCCGGGCCGGCACTGCTCTTGGCTCTTTATGCTGTCTGCGTCTGTACGCAGTGGGTCACTGGGCCACAGTGGGTACCCGGGACGTTCTCCCAGACACGTGCCAGCTTGCAGCAGTACCGCGTGGCCTGTCCTAGTCTCGAGTTCCCTTTCCGTTTCCGGTACCTGCCGTTGCTGTCCCTTGGCTCCCTTGCTCCAGCCTAGCGAGCACTGCAGCCGTCCCTTGTGCCCAGAGGCAGGACTCTGCACTGGGCCTTGTCTCAGGTAACTTTGTCCTCGGTGCCCAGGTTGCAGAGCGCCAGCTGCAGGCGTGGGAGGCGGACCAGCAGGCGGCGGCGGAGGAGGAGGAGGCCAGGCAGGCAGAGCAGCTGTCCGACGCCCTGCTCCAGAAGGAGGCCAGCATCATGGCTGAGCAGGGCTACCGACCCAAGGTAGGCGCTGGCCAGGGCCCAGGCCACCGCAGCGCTGGGCTTGACTCTGCTTCCGTCCCGGTCCTTCCCTGCTGCTCTTCACTGGGATTTCTCTGGCTGGGCCGGCAGGCAGCCTCAGCACAGGCTGGTCCAGCCCTGGCTGAGCGTTGTCAGTCCTCCAGGCGCTTTTGCTCTGGCCGCTGCTGCAGCGCAGATACGGAGTCCTGACTGGTGGTGAGCTGTGTGCCCGTCCGCCCTGTTAGAGGACGAAGAGCAGCACGCTAAGGAGGGCTGTGGCCACAGCTAGCGAGGGTGGGCCTGGCCCAGCTGCTGATCAGTGAAGCCCGGAGACCAGCTTGCCTGCCCCTTGGCCAGTCCCCTCTGGCGGGCCCCTTCCTCCCCTCCTGTATCTTGAGGTACTTGAGTGACCCCCGCAGAAGGCACCACGGGGAGCTGGAGAGGCAGAGGCCATCACCCTTCTTCTGAGGGTGCTAGTGCCCGAGGCCTCTGCCCACCTTTAGCCAGGGCCCCTGGAGGTGGTCTAGGGTGCTGCCTCCAGGAAAATGCGCTGCAGAGAAAGAGGGCCGGCTGGTCACGGTCAGGGAAGCAGGGAACCGAGTGAGAGAGCAGGTCTCGCGTTCGCTGTAGAATGTTAACACCTGCTATACAGAGGGCTCAGAGGCGCAGGGAACAGCATTTCTAACCGCACTTGAGCGTGGAGCAGCGAGTGACTCAGGATCGGGGTTTCAGGGTTTCACAGAGCACATAGGAAGGTGCTTCTTAGGGCAAGTTATAAAGAGCCTCATGTATGGCTTAGCGGGAAAGCTTTTTCAGCTGTACATGAAAGTCATCATTTGTACCATGCGTTAGGCTCTTAATGAGAATGAGGCCAACTCCCGGTGCTTCAGAGGCTGCTGATCTGATCAGGCTTTGTTTCTTTCTTTTCTCAGCCTTACGGACATCCCAAAATTGCTTGGGACTGACTTCTTTGGTACCGGAAGAACAGAGAAAGATGCTGAGTCCCTTGACACAAAGCCACCAGACAGCCGTGCAGTGTTTGCTTACGATCAGGCACTGTTGAGCCGTGCTTGGTGAGGTGTGCGATCAAGGCACTGATGGCCGGGCCAGATGACGAGGTGCTGTGTTCGTGCAGCACAGAGAATGGCCCTTTCCTGCCTTTGTCATCCAAGACAAGCCCCTTACAGCCTGATGTTTACATGCTGTCTAACAGTCCTGCGTTTATAAACAATGCAGGGTTCTAGATGGACACTGAAAGGTCCCAGTTGCATTCCGTGACAGACGTGCGGTTTCCTGACGTCTCGCCCTTAATTGTCAACCTCTGAAGACTGGCTAGAGATGGACGGGAAGTTTTGTTTTGCTGGCTTTTTTTTTTTTTTTGCGCAATGCTGTGGATTGAGCCCACAGCTTTGTGCCTATTAGGCAAGTCCTCTGCCACTGAGCTACAGCCCCTGCCCGCATTTTTCAGTTTTTAAAATTGCCATTTGAACTATTGTGGGGCAACCCACTTGGGGACCCTTCCTGTCTCTTAGGACATATTCCTACTCCCTGTTCCTTTTCTCCATAAAATTTCCTACCCTTAAGTAAATAAATAAACTCGTCTGTTGGAAACAGACTTGCAGGTCTTGCAGTTTATTTCAAGTTTACTTATCTAGTAGTCCCCAAGGATCCCGTCTTCTCTGTTCTGGAAGGAAATCATTTGACTGCATTAGAACCCTCAGTCTGGTGGGCGGTCTGTAGATGCTTTCTGGAAGAAAGGCGGTGAGAAATGAGGCTTCTCCCTCAGGAGGAATTTCGTTAGACTTCCCGGGGAGCACTGAACACAGCAGTAATGCCAACACACTCCTGAGCCTCAAAAAGTGACCCGGTTGGCAAGCCTTTCGGAAGCAAGGATGTGACGGCAGGGACCCTTGGTGTCTTGGGTAGTCTCAGCCACATGCAGCCCCCAGGGATTTACATGCCCAAAGGGAGGAGCTGAGCCTGAAGAACAGATGAGTCTCAGAACAGCGGAGCAGGCCCAAGTTTCCCCCGCGTTAACCTGACGCGGTTCCAGATCCATCTCTGCAAACACCTACGGTTCCCACAGCAATAATCACGTTCTGAGGACTCGTTTTTTATGAGGCTCCAGTTTTCATTCGTTTTTTGGTTTTTTTGTTTTTGTCTTTTTGAGACAGGGTCTCTCTATGCAGTTCAGGCTGGCCTTGAGCTCACTTAGTAGCCCAGGCTGGTCTCGAACTTGCAACAATCCTCCTGCCTCGGCCTCCCGAGTGCTGGGATTACAGGCATGTGCTACCATGCCTGGCTCCAGTTTTCATTATATCGTATTTAAGATCCCATATCTCAATAAATTACAGCTCACTACAGGGCATTCTTCTATGGTTATTAAAAACTAGAGTTTATTTTTTAAAAATCCCGAGTATAAGGGCTGTATCACCTTTCCCTTACGTTATGCTATAAAAGCAGATTGAGCACCCGGGCATGGTGGCACACACCTGTAATCCCAGCACTCTGGAGGCTGAGGCGGGAGGATCCTTGTGAGTTCAAGGCCAGCCTGGGCTACAAAGTGAGCTCAAGGCCAGCCTGAACTGCACAGCGAGACCCTGTCTCAAAAAGATTAAAAAAAAAAAAGATTGAGCTGCCCAGCTGTCCTAATGTGTTTTTCATTTTCCCGTCTTAAGTTCTTTGGATGTGATCCTGAGCCCCACTTTCCTCATGTGTGCTCATCTGTATTTCCCATTTCAGATGTTCACCAACTGTGAAATAAGGTCCTGCTTTACCGGCAGCACTGCCAGGCTTTGTTACTGTAGTTCTCTCTGCTGCAGAATGGATTGCTAGGGTTAGATTTTTACGATTTAATGCACATCTCCTATAAGTTTGGATTTATATGACTAGATTTTGTTTTTTTTCCACCCCACCCAACACACACACCCAGTACTGGGGATTGAATCCAGAGCCTTTGAAATGAACTATGTCCCCAGCCCTTTTAAAATTATTTTGGATCAGGGGGTCTCAAAATTCTCAGGCTGGGCTCAAACTTCAACCTGCACAGAAGACTGGGATTGCAGGTGTATGAGCCACCACGCCTGGTTTGATTAGTCATGTTTCTTTCTTTCTTTTTTTTTTTATGTCTTTTTGAGACAGGGTCTCCCTATGCAGTTCAGGCTGGCCTTGAGCTCACTTTGGAGCCCAGGCTGGCCCCGAACTCGCAAAGATCCTCCTGCCTCAGCCTCCTGAGTGCTGGGATTATAAGCGTGTGACACCATGCCCGATGACTAAGCATGTTTCTTAGGTTATATTTTTTTTTTTTTTTTTGTGAAAATGGTGCTTTTTCTCCTCTTATTTCCATGGAAACTACAGAAAATTATTAGCACTGAGTTGCAGTATAGAATAGATGTGGACAGAGTGCCCAGCAAATTGGCACTCATTTATTTACTGAATAAATATTTAATGTTTGAAGCCTGGCAGCAATCTTCCTTATTAGCATTAAAATTAGGTTACACTGGTTCTCTAATATACTTAGATATTTCTTCTCTAACCTGGGCCAAAATACTTATCTTTTAAATTTAGCGCTTCTCTACAAAGTAAACTCAAGACCAGCCTGAACTGCACAGGGAGACCGTGTCTCAAAAAGACCAAAAAAAAAAAAGTCAGTTCCTTTTATACTGGACGGTGTTGAAGGCGCTGGCGACACGAGTAATTCTTGCAGTACTGTAAATCTTTTCTCTCTGCTCTGCGTTCGGCACTCGTCCTCTGGGGAAGGCCGGGTGTAGGCCTGGGCGAGTTCCAGACTGAATGGGACGCTGACAGGAGCCAGACACTGGAGTCAGCTGCGGCTGAGCAGACGTCCCTGGCTGGCGCAGAGCCAGCTGTCGCGCATGGTGCTGAGGCTAGACTTGTGGGATAAATGCAGAGGTGTGACCATATTTCTTTTTGGATACAATAAATATTTTTTTCCACCATCTGGGCTTATGGGTTGTTTTTAGTGTTCATAAAATACAAAGCATCATTTTATTTTTTCTTTTTCCGGTAATGGGAATCGAACTCATGACCTTGCACTTGCCAGGCAGGCGCTGTGCCACTGAGCTAAATCTCCAGCCCCTAAAGCAGCGTTTTAAAGACCGCTGTAATGCCTTTAAAAACACAGGCATTAGCAGTTCTTGATGCCCTTGACTGAATTCAGGCACGAGGAGTTTGATGTTAGGGAGTCTGACACAGTGATGGCTTCGTTTTGAGGGGCGTTTTCTTTATGACCTACTGTGATGCTCACCTAAGTAGTGTCTACTGCGTGTGAGTTTTAGAAACAGGTAAGTGCAGCAGCCTCTGTATCTTCACTCCTGTACACAGTTGATACTTGGCCAGGGATATAGCTCAGTGGCATAAGTGCCTGCCTGGCAAGCACAAGGTCCTGAGTTCGATTTCCGGCACCACAAAAAGAAAAACCAGTTGATATTTGGCTTCTAGTTTCTTCTCTTATTTTATTTTATTTTATTTTTTATTTTTTGGTTTTTCTCCGGTATCGGGAACTGAACTCACGACCTTGCGCTTGCCAGGCAGGCGCTTTTGCCGCTGAGCTAAATCCCCAGCCCCCTAGTTTCTTCTTTTAATAATTGTGTTTCTCTAAACCTCCCTGCATATCCTTTCTAGCTCACACACGTCAGATGTCCTTGAGTAAGGGAGCGGGAAGCAGACGCCTTGTGACACTGCAGCAGTCCTGAGATTGGTGGGAGAGTTGTTTTAGGGTGTACAATGCCTTTGTGCTGCTTCAGCACTTTTTCCTCATCTTATTTTGATTACCTACACCAGAAGGTGGCAGTTCCGTTTTGCTCATTTCCCCTTGAACACCCCGTACGGAAACGTTCATGGCGGAAGAGGTCGGCAGGAGGGGCTCCCCTGTAGGAGGCACCAGAGCCAGGCAGTGCTGTAGTTCGTGCCCCTGACTTGTGGCTGCTGAGGCAAACTGAGCGTCTGGACCCAAGTGGCTGCGCCACTGACCCTAGCTCCATCCAGTTCAGACACTTCTCTTTTTTTTTTGGGGTACCGGGAATCAAACTCAGGGCCTTGTGCTTGCCAGGCAGGCGCTTATGCTGCTGAGCTACATCCCCGGCCCAGACATTTCTTGATCCTGCTTGGTGATATGAGTGAGCTTCTCTGGGTCTTTTGGCTGGTACTTTAGGTACTTTGGCCTCTCTGTAAGGAGTGCCAGCCTTTCAGGCCTGCCAGGTGATGTGAGGCCGGCCTCTGGCTTCCAGTAGCAGCTCCATGTCAGTGTCTCCTGGGACTGCAGCTCTAGTCTGGACGCCTACATCCCCACCACTGTGCTGCCCAGCCCCAGAGGTACCTCTAGTACCACAGGTTCCCATCGTAAGAAACTAAATTTCATCTAGCTCTGAGACAGTCACCAGAGCCGTCATGGGTCACGGTGGAACAGAAAGTTGGACTGACAAAATAAGCCCTGGGTGCGGTAAGCATTACTGTTGTTGGTGGGGTGGGTTGCTTTTCTGTCCGCATGCCCTTTTCTATAGACCTATCACAGGAATTGATAAAACCACGGGAGCAGAAACCATGAAAAATCACGTTTGCATGAAATGAGAAATTGTTAACAAGGAAAAAAATCTAAACTTGTTCTTAGTCAATTTAAAAATCACTAAATTTCCTGGGCGTGGTGGCACACGCCTGTAATCCCAGCACTAGGGAGGCTGAGGCAGGAGGATTGTTGCGAGTTCGAGACCAGCCTGGGCTACAAAGTGAGCACAAGGCCAGCCTGAACTGCATAGTGAGCCCCTGTCTCAAAAAGACCAAAAAAAAAAAAAAAAAAAAAAAAATCACTAATTTTGAGCCAGGCATGGTGGCATACCCCTGTAATCCCAGCACTTGGGAGGCTGAGGCAGGAGGACTGCTATGAGTTTGAGGCCAGCCTGGGCTACACAGTGAGTTCAAGGCCAGCCTGAACTGCACAGTGAAACTGTCTCAAAAAGAAAAAAAAAAAAAATCACTAACTTTGGAGGTCATGCAGCTGTGCAATACACTATTAGTTTCCCACTAGCTTTGCTGTAGCTAACACCTCTGAAATGAGGGTTATGATAACAGTTGCCTGGGTTACTTTGCAGGAGCTTGCAGGCTGCTTTTGCAGTCTGTGAAAACAGTTTTTCACCTGAGCCTACAGAGATGCCCTGGGTGACTAAAATGGGACAAAAGCTTGGGGTTCGCACCTTCACATGTGCCTGTCCTGTTTGCTATCTTAACCCTTAGATCACATTCTACTCAGCTCTTTTTTTTTTCAGAATACCACCAAGTGATAACTTTTATTTCACAAAGATGCACAGATACGATCAATACAAGAATCTATACATTCTGTGGTTTCTAAATGTTTACCCACTAATAGTTTTTGTGAGAGGCTGTTGTCCTTCATGGTTCAGAGAAAGTCTGGATGGCTGATGTTTGTGAGATCCCAACTTTTCTTCCCTTCTACCCAGCAAGATTTCTCTGAAGTCTCGCCAGATGTTTTCTTTCCCTGTTGCTGCTTAACTTGATTTCATTTTCAAGTTGCACAATAGTCCGTTCAATCTCATAATTCTTACTGACCAAGGCTACCCGATTGGACTCCATTTCTCTCAG